AAAGATCTGTGGATATTTGGGGTCATTTGTACCATGTGCTATCTGTAAACTCCCTTACATTCAGATAGCGAATTGAATATAATTATTACGTATTGTGAGGTAGGGCAAGCCATAATGTTTGTCCTACTTAGCAACAACTAATGTATCCAATTTGAATTCTGACTATTGAGATACAATAATTCACATCGAGGCACTTCACAGGAATCAATTTAATTGGTCATAGTGACCTATTACAAATATCATGAACTTTGGATATTCTTAATATAACAGACAAGGTGATATTTTCGACTCCTACCTGAAGTAAAAGTATCATACGAATATTTAACGAGTGTAACAACTTAAACGGGAAAATAAAAATAGTCAATGTATATCCACGATCTTTTAAACATTTTCTTAAATTGATATCGCACTTGTATCACTCATAACAGGCACATGTATGTTCAGCTATTTTTCTGATGAAAGTAATAGCTGATACAATCATTTTCCTTTCATTCATTGAGAAAATATGTCCTCATTTTTGCAGGGGTGGCGGAGCATCTTTCAGAGTGGAGACACCAACAAAATAGGCATCTGTTTTAGGGAAAAAGGGCACCTAAAAGGGGCATCCAAAAGAAGAATGAAAAAAAAGCATTTAGAGACATGGGTTTATACCCCCTACATTCCAATTATTACTTTATCAAGGATCATCTTTAAAATTGTGCCGTTTCTCTCTTTACGTGGCCCTACAGATACTGCTAGCATCATATTTGCCATCAATAATTTAATGCATATGTTTGTAATTAAATAAATAAAGGCGAGGACTCACCATTTTGACCGATGGAAAAGATATCCAATTTATTCGATGAAATCCAGTCGAGCAAATGTTAATAGATTGTATTTTCTTTATTGCGAGGTTGTCTTTACATCTCTAATAAAGTAAACTCTCAGAAGACAACAAGCAGCAAGTAGTGAAAACGTGAAGCAAAAATCCAAGAACACTACAGTTTAGTTGTCTTTATTCCCGGACTCCTCAAAAGGAAGTTTAAAAAAACGTGAATAAAAGATCCAGTATTACAAATAGTCTGTTTATTTAATTTTTCCTAACTCTGTTTGGACAGCGAAATGAGAAACGATGAACACGTCTACTGAAACACCCGGAAATTAACGCCAATTTTCACGGGTTGATATCCAATATGCCTCGGATTCCGCAGCTAACACGCCCCCTGATCAGGAAGGTCTGTGTAGGGAGACAGGCCCATCTCAAGTAACCAATCAACGCGAGGAACACTTGCCACATCTCCGCCGTATTTTTTACCTTTTTCCTTCCGTTGCTCTAGCTCTCTCTCTCTCTCTCTCTCTCTCAACACAATTCCTCTGGTTAGGATACGCGTTATTGTTGTTGTTTTAGTTTTATTGGCGTGTATCATTAATTTATGAATATTAATACGCTCCTTCTACTCATTAGCCTTATCACCAACCCACCCAAGCCGCCGTTAAACCAGGGAGGTGATCACCTCCCTTATTAAACCATGATACATGCACTAGGCTGGGTCGTAAATCTAAACATACGGTCTAGCCTTTTGATATCATGGTCCGATCAGGGATATGTGATCCCTGGTCCGATCATGGACCTACTGCGCCTCTTGGTTCTCACTAATCTCCATCGATACTTTATCTCTCATCTGCACATTTTCTCCTCATGATTCTCGACCGCCAACATCACTTTTCATGCTACTCTCTACGATCCGGCATACTCGTACAAACAGAAATTTAACTTAACGAACGACGTGTTATTTTGTTGTTTGTTCGCCTACTCCTATCATTAGGGACTTTTAGATTCTGCACGACGATTACGTGGACTGCCCTTTTAAGGCACTGGCAGTGACGTCACATTGCCTTAAAAGGGCAGTCCAACGTTCTCGTCGTGCAGAATCTAAAAGTCCCTATTAATTTAATGGTAACAGGGTTGTACCAAACAATAGTCAGCACAATCATTTCTACTGTTTCTACATCCTTGATTACTAAATGAGCGTGTACATAGGTGTATGAATGGAGGGTGACATTTTGTTAACACCAAATCTCCCATTGAGTTTCTCCATGTGTTATATATGTCTCGATCAAAGCGGCAGGTCAACTAATTCGTCTCCACGACGAATTCAATGTCTAGTTACTATTTGTCTTCTTCTTATTCTTGTTCTCCTTTAAAAAAAATTATTCTCCTTTTTCTTTTTACTTTTCTTTTTCTATTTTTCGTGGGTTTTCCTCTTCTCTTGGGTCTTCCTCTTATTGGAGGCCATTTTCTTCTTCTTTTTTTTTCAGCTCAATTGCAAGTCTAGCTTACACTCGAGTCGAGCATGATAGTTGTCATGCGATTTTTTTTTAATGATCTAGTGACGTCGTCAATTATAGAGACTATTTTCTCTAAATTTTGTTCCCTCTTTTTTTGTTATATTCGCTTTTTAGCATTACATATTGGCCTTGAGTGGCGGAAATTGTTTTTGAATAATTGATACACATCACTATGCGTACATTATTACTTGCTTGCGCTTTCTCATCAATGCATTCATCATTTCATGATCGCCCACTTATCCTAAAAATAGTAGAAATGAATAAAATAGAGGTGTTTTTATGCAACGGCTCATCGAATATATAATGATGATATGTTTGTCGTACACGATTCATTGCACTCCTGATCTCCATGGTGATCATTCTGCTCATCTCATTTCTATTTGTTACCAATGCTGAGAAATAACCGTTTCATTTGGGGGAGGCGGCCGTAAGGTAGTAGATTCAGTGGAAATGATTAAAACCCCAATACTTTGACTGTTAAACAATATTTAGATTTGCACTGTTTGCCTAAATGAATTATGTAACAGAATGAATACCGAGAACATAATGTCGATAATCAGAGTACATTGGTGAGCATTAACCAAACTTGCTCTATCACTACTTTTTATTTATTTAGTGTGTATGTTCTGTGTCTATGTTTTGAATGTTTCTTCACAGAAAGACATTAAAAGTTCATTGAATATTTTGATAAAGCCATTAGCCCATGGACATACAGAACAAACTACTGTTTGGAAATCGTCCCACTTTCCCAACCTTCTTCCAACCGCATATAGCATTATTTGGTTTCAAAACATAATGCACAATCATAACAATGGATTCTCTCTTGTTAGGTGTAACACATACTGTAAAAACAGCTTAATTTTAATAATTTCACAGCAACCAACAGCAAAGCAGGAATTAGAGTAAAGGAAAACGTTTTGCAACGAAAGTCATATTTCTAAATGAAATGTAGTCTTGACCGATGCTGAGCACATCGAGGCCTATATCATCCATACGAAAGCACTATAACATACCCTATCATCTGACTATTAGAATACTAGGAATTCATTTATGTTCATTATAATTAAATGAATATTCCAAATACAGATACGTATTTTGCACTCTACAGTAAACATATATATATTTAAAAGAATCCCACTCAAACATTTAAATAAACTGATGAAGGTATATTTATGTTCACACCGTAAAGTGTATCAGAAGATTAGATCTTCGTCATCGTCAGTAACACCTATGAACAACACATTTGAATAAAATAAGTTATTAATATAATTATACTGAAATATTATGTACAAGTAGCGTATATGATTAACAAACAATTGATAGTGATTTTTTATACAAGTGTCTCTAATCGGTTTACTTACTTAGGTAAATAATTCGATAGCTTCTGCTGTTCATGCATTCTCAAAATTTTACGAGACTGCATTCAAATTCCGTACATATTGACATTGGGCTATTATAATGTTTCATGCTCTTGTGTGGCCAAAATATGAAACTCTTATTTATGAGTATGGACAGGATTGCAAGTATTTGAGCAAACATGATAATAGCCTACCACTTCAAGGAGTTTATATCATGCATACAGACTTGTTACTAACAATGTCTGAAAATTTCGGTTCGTATCTCGTGGTTTACATGGTTCCATTAATTTCATATTGGAAATCTAAACAGAATATAAAAGGAGCATATCAATTAAAAGTAAAACCTCAACAAGACATAACATGAACAAGATAAGAACGTATCATTTTCATCGTTCCTCTAAAACAACCCCGATAACTTCAGCATTAGCCTATATTCTAGAAAATATATGCTGCAATACGTAGAAATGTGACTTTCAAGCATTCTTCCTTTAAGATGAGTTCACATCGGCATAAGTTTATCTACAGCAGGGCAGCTAATGCCGGTATATACACAGTGCTGGAGAGCGAGAGATTGTAAAAGTCCGAAATTAAATATTCTACCAGCAATATTTACAACGCAATTTTTCTTAAATTTGTAGGCACACTTTGTGTAGTTGATCGAACCCCCCACTTTTATGACATCGAAAAACCTCGGCGTTTAAAAAAATGACATATCTTATTGATTGATTGATTTTATTCGCCAAGCCTCAACATACAACAATATGTAAGAATAACAGATAAAAATTAAGTCAGCTTGAACAAACCCATGAAAGCTTATTTCCAGTGGGGTCCCCGACATATACACAATTAGACCAGTTCACGGTTAGCACATTACTGCAATGACCCCGAATATCCACAGATCTTAAAACCATGAAGAGGTCCCACTTTGTACATTTTGAAATAATCACTCCTACAGCGATGGAGGTGCTATAGAAATAGCCTTTGTTTCCCCTTTTCAAAGAATACTTCCACCTGTGTATCATGGAGTGCACTGAATGTGCATGAACGTATAATGTTACATAACTTTCATGAGCACGAATCCAGTATTTCGTCTCCGTTAATTTCAAAATTTGTTCTGCAATGACCTTTATCTGCTCATGCTCAGACTGCAACCGTGAACTGGCTTATTAATAAGTTAAAATCTTATTATTTACAGACAGATAAGAAAAAAAACTTATCAAAGATAATAATAACACAGAGCTCAGTGAATAAGCGCTGGTTGCCATTTATTCCCCCCCCCCCCCCTCAAAAAAAAAAAATCTTCATCTGTCACATGATATATATACATATTCATTATCTTCAAGACTTTTCTCAATATATTCATGACCTGGCCCAAAGACTGAATATTTGAATTAAACTTATCGACTACAAAATGTTTACCTAGAGTTTATGCGTATCCGTCCAAGAAGAATTTTTCATTAAAGATATCGGAATCTCAAAAGATTTTTATTTTTTATTTTGTTATACTTACCATTGGAACAATACTAGTTCACCTTTACAGTGGATGAATGTACATTAATCTACGAAAGAGGGTTCTAAAATATCACATCACTCAGATCGAGCAGTCAACTCCAGCATCTTCAGCGTGTCCGCAGTAGTGGTTGCCCCATCCGCCATTACTGCAATCAGTCAACCTGGATTCATTTCCCGAACAGCCGACATCATCGAGGTATATCGGGCCAGATCCCTGTCCGTATGTTGCACCACTCCTGGCTACACCAACATTGCCTGAGTATCCAAGCTGTCGACAAACTACCCTCGCATCAGAGTCATCCCAACCGTCATCACAGACTGTCCCCCATTGACCTTCATGGAAGCTGATCTCAACCCTGCCTTCGTCTGAACTGTAACCGTCAACCAGCCGGATTTTTCCCTCAATTTTATCTTTCAAAACAATAAAACGAAGGAATAAGACCTCTATACAGTGCGTAACAGAAAAAAACGAAAACGAGAATTATCGATGTTTTATTATAACTTAATCACAATTAATTTATAATTAATAAATGACACATATCTGTAAAACTTAGATCTTCCTCTTTCATTTGATGCAACTCATATGTTGCATATTTCACGCATGAGTGATTAAAATGAATTTGAAGAGAGGAAAACAAAGAGTCATTTGGCGGACGGAATCTACATTTCAAAGAGAAAATCACATTTCCAGAAAGTTGAGTATCTGCCCTTCCATATGACACCTCAGTCAGGAAAAATTAGCTAGGAATAACAAAGTTCTATTTGTTTCAAGTATTGATTGCATTTCCATAATTTTATTAAACGAATTTGTTTTCACTGGCTGCCTGCCGTACGTAGCAACAAACGGAATTAACAAAAAACTTAACTCCGTTTCGTTGACAATCAGCCGTAGTCGAAAGACATTATGCATGGCTGATTGTCAACGAAACGGAGTTAAGTCTTTTGTCAACTCTGCTAGTTGCTACGGCAAGCAGCCAGTGAAAACGAATTCGTTTGATAAAATTATGGAAATGCAAGCACTACTTTAAACAAACAGAACTTTGTCATTCCTTGCTCATTTTTCCTGATTGAGGTGTCATAGAAAAGAGCAGTAACTCAACTTTTCAGAAATGTGATTTTTCTCTTTGAAATTCAAATACCGTCCGCCCAATGACTTTTTGGTTTCCTCTCTTCAAATTCATTTGTTATCACTCATGCGTGAAATATGCATCAAAGGAGTTGCATCAAACGAAAGAGAAGGATCTAAGCTTTCCAAATTATGTGTCATTTATTAATTATAATTGTGACTAAGTTATGATAAAACATCGATAATTCTCTGTTTCGTTTTTTCTGGGACGCACTGTATAGTATGAGACTCTCCCAAAACAGTAACCCTATTTTACCCGTATGATTTCACCCCTCATTGCCAAAAAAGGGTCAAAAGTTCGACCGTATAGTCGTCGGGTTAGCCCCGAGAGTCCCCAAAACTAACTCGAAAGCCGGGTCGACTTCATGCCATGTACCTCAATCTAAAATCTTTGCCAGTAGAAAGTAATGAGACTGAACATTACTTTAACACACACAAATAATATAAAAACAGACAAAATTTTCTTCGGTATGGGATGTCTGATGCCTCCTAAAAACTTGTATCAATTTTTCTTTTTAGGTTCAAGGACCACATTTTGTCATGAGAAAAAGGTTGCGACTTTATTACAAAAGCATAAGAAGTGAAAAATAAATAATGTTTTTCTGCCCCCCCCCCCCCCCCCAAAAAAAAAAAAATGCTCTGGTTCTAGTTTAGACAAAGTGTGCGATTAAAGATTAAGTTGAGTTCTGGTCATGCGATTGCATTGTGAAAGAAACGGTGTGGAATCGATCAGAAAAGGTTAATGATCTAGCATATGTAAATATGGTGTGTACTGCAAGGTTCTTGAGTCATTAAAATGATAAAAAATTTGGCCCAGTCTCGGTAAAGTTACAAACACTGTACACAGAAATACGTATATGGAACTGCACGAACATGTGGCGTAAAAATCCGTCCCGATTTTTATGCTGTTATATGCCATATTTAGAATATTAAGACATTTGAAGAGCCATGCTTTTCAGGGAACATTAATTGTTATCTGATGTTCTTCTACACTTGCATAATGACAATGATAACGCTCACAAATTATTTTTCACCTATTCCCAGAACTCAACTTCTCTTTAAGTCGAAGAAGAAGTCCCCATGAAGATATTAGGAGCTCTCTGCATCAGTGTTGAAGATATTTACACAAAATATTGGAATGATAAGTTCGCCTACACGTTGGAAAAATGTACATGTATCTACGAACAGGGGTTCTTTGTATCTACAAGAAAAGGCACTGTAAATATCCTAAGTATGAATGGTTGCAACCTACCTCCACAGTAAACTCCAGCATCTTCAGAATGATCGCAGTTTTGGTTGCCCCATCCGCCATTACTGCAATCAGTCAACCTGGATTCCTTTCCCGAACAGCCGACATCATCGAGGTATATCGGGCCAGATCCCTGTCCGTATGTTGCACGACTCCTGGCTACACCAACATTGCCTGAGTATCCAAGCTGTCGACAAACTACCCTCGCATCAGAGTCATCCCAACTGTCATCACAGACTGTCCCCCATTGTCCTTCATGGAAGATCTCAACCCTGCCTTCGTCTGAGCTGTAACCGTCAACCAGCCGGATTTCTCCCTCAATTTGATCTTTCATAATAAATAGAACGAAGGAATAAGACCTCTAGTATGAGACTGTCCCAAAATAGTCACCCATTTTACCCGTAAGGATGTTGCGTTACGATAGTCGCTATAAAGAGTGACGTGATTTTCGGGAGCTCCCTTATTCGCACGCTTAGCTACTTGGCAAAAAAGCAAATCATCCCGCTCAACCTTCGAAGCGGGACCTCAACTGGGACTATCGGGACAGATCCCTGTCAGCTCGCATCTTCCGACACTCCAACCAACCCGGCCCCTTCAAACTTTGAAGTACAATATTTGTTCGGAAAGGAATTTCTGACATTCGTTCAATGCTTTCTAATTTTGAGGAAGCTCTAGCCTTCCAAGATGCTCGTACTCAGTGGCGTACGCAGGATTTTTTTCAAGGGGGGGGGGGGGGGGGGGTTAGTTTAAAATCGACTCAGTTTTATTATTTTGCTCCCAAAAATGTGAAAACCGGCCGAAAAGTCGCTCAGTGGGAGAGGGGGGGGGGGGGGGGGTTGGTAAGAGGATAATTTTTTTAATTTTTTTGGGTCTCGAAATTTGAAAATTTGACATTCCGTTCCGTTGGGGGGGGGGGGGGTAAGGTCATCTTTTGTAGGTCAGCCATTGGCAAAAAAAACTCAAAAGGGGGGGGGGGGGTTTCAGAAAAAACATACAAAAAACATACACATAAAAGAAGAAGGGGAATAAAGGGGAATGACTTAGAAGCCCACATTTTGACCCATGAAACCCGTCTGCAGATGGCAGAGTTAGCTGAAAATAAACTGGAACGTTTTTCTCGGAGAAACAACTTTAGATTGTCGGAGTACCTTATTGCCCCAATGAGAATGCTATGGATGTCCCAAAAGATTATCTCAGGAGATATTTCGGTACGGAAAACCCACAAATTGAACGTGCCCATCGAGACGGCCCCCAAATGAAGGATTTGCCACGTCATCTTTTGGTAAAAATGCTGTCTTTTCAAGACAATAGATATGTCGTTTTCCAGCAGAGAAAAAAATCTAGAAAGTTAGAAAATATACGTCATAGACGATATAAAAGGATAGAGAAGAGAAGAAGAAATGGCTAAAGGAAGTCAATGTTGCGTTTCTTTCCGGGACGCGTTATCATTTCTTTGCCGGAAAATGGCGTGAAGGGCGTGGCACATTATAACACCATTCTACCGAGCCAATACCAGCGCTGAAGGGCGACACCTCCCTAGGGGAACTGTCGCTTAGTGATACTCGCATCGACACAGCTAGTTCAAGTGGCAACGGAAATGCCCACGCCCCGCCCCAAGGCCCCAACCATAGATCGAGATGGTGTAAATGAAGTTTTCTTACGAGTAGTTGTGGTATAATGTGAGGTGGTGGATTCCGTGGTGGACATCGTTGTGGCGTCTTGTGTTGTAGTTGATTCTGAAGAAGAAATATGATATAAACACCTTATGATACACCTGAAGACATTTAGATTTCGTGAGATAACAAAAATAAAGATGTTAATTTCTACTTTGTGAAGATTAGATTTTTGAGAAAAACAGATTAGTGCAACACATTACGTTGTACAAGAAAGGATACATGAAGAGAAAGAGAGAGAGGGACAAAGAGGAAGAAAGATAAGGGGGAGAGGGGGAGAGAGGGAGAGACGGAGTGAGGTGGGAGGGAGGGAGGGAGGGAGATAGAGAGAGAACAAAGAGAGAAAAGAGCGACAAAAAAATAAATGAAGTTTTCTTACGAGTAGTTGTGGTAGGATGTGTCGTGGTGGATTCCGTTGTGTACTTCGTTGTGGCGTGTTGTGTAGTAGTTAATTCTTAAAGCAATATGATATGGGGATGGTGGTAAGCGAGGAAGGAAGGAAGGGGGTGCTTAAACGTACTCGTACTCGTACATAATTATTAATAATGGGCCTTCCATGCTTTCGGCGGCAGTGCCTTGGACAATCTTTGACAATTTCCATTTGCACCGAAATCACCCACTTCCTGTGTGAGCATGACTGTGTGAAAAGATCATGATTCTTAACGCCTATCCTTTATATACTATTGCATATTTCTACGTCTGAAAATATTTCGACATTGACTCCTCTCTGACCTCAGAAATGTCTCAATTTTCTAACTCATGCATACATTTTAGTGGTTGATAGGTTCTAAATTGTATAATCATCATTATTGTTCAAGAGTTATGATATTTTAAATCAATCTACAAGTTGGACTGACATATCATAACTGTTATGATCATCACTATAAACCTAAAACTCACCAGCTAACTTGCAAACGAAATGTCGTTTAATACCCTTCAATACGGCGGGAAACGAGGGCATGTATTCTGGCACTGTGGGCATCAATTCACCATTTACAAGAATCGGCTGGCAATGATTATCCTCCGTATGCAACACTTCATCGGCCATGTTTGTAGACCCCTGAGCGTGAGCTGAAACACATACACATATACAGTGCGTCCCAGAAAAAACGAGATCGAGAATTATCGATGTTTTATCATTACTTAGTCACAATTATAATTGACAAATCACACATATTTGTAAAGCTTAGATCCTCCTCTTTCATTTGATACTACTCGTATAATGCATATTTCACGCATGAGTGATTAAAATTAATTTGAAGAGAGGAAACCAAAAAGTCATTTGGCGGACGGTATCTTAATTTCAAAGAGAAAATCACATTTCCAGAAAGTTGAGTATGTACCCTTTCCTATGACACCTCAATCAGGAAAAATAAAATAGGAATAACAGAGTTCTGTTTGTTTAAAGTAGTGCTTGCATTTCCATATTGTATTAAACAAATTCGTTTTCACTGGCTGACTGCCGTAGCAACAAACGGAATTAACAAAAGACTTAACTCCGTTTCGTTGACAATCAGCCGTAGTCGAAAGACATTATGCATGGCTGATTGTCAACGAAGCGGAGTTAAGTCTTTTGTCAATTTTGCTTGTTGCTACTGCAGGCAGCCAGTGAAAACGAATTCGTTTGATAAAATTATGGAAATACAAGCAATACTTTAAACAAACAGAACTTTGTCATTTTCCCGATTGAGGTGTCATATGGAAGGGCAGATACTCAACTTTCTGGAAACGTGATTTTTCTCGTTGAAATTCAGATACCGTCCGCCAAATGACTTTTTGGTTTCCTCTCTTCAAATTCATTTTAATCACTCATGCGTGAAATATGCATTATGCGAGTAGTATCAAATGAAAGAGGAGGATCTAAGCTTTTCAAATATCTGTCATTTATTAATTATAAATGTGACTAAGTTATGATAAAACATCGATAGTTCTCGGTTTCGTTTTTTCTTGGACGCACTGTACAGAATGTTAATACGTCATTAAATACACAAAATGTAAAGTTGACTTGTATACACACACAAAAAACAAGATCGCAAGGAAACAACAAAGAATCAATACAAAAAAATAATCTCATTACTTTCGTTCAACGGAGTTCAATCTGAATAATTATGTTCGGAGACCACTAGAATACGCATCTTCTGCTCTCTCTCTCTCTCTCTCTCTCTCTCTCTCTCTTTCTCCCTCTCTCTCTCTTTCTCTCTCCCTCTCCCTCTCTCTCTCCCACACACACACACTCTCATCCTTCTCCTCTCCACACTCCACATTTCTGCATTTGTTACGGAAGTTCCCCCGTGCTGCCACCCCCTACTCAAATTTGTCTTATGTCACTGGTCCGGGAGGGGTACCGAAGAAGTGATGGGGACACATGCCATCAGTTTAATTGGCCAAACATGGGGAAGCAGAAAGAGGGTTGATCAGGAACCGGTCAAAAACATTTAACTACCTGTCGTGTCTTCATTCGAATCACGACATAACAGGTAGTTTTATTTTTGACCGGTTCCGGCTCCCTATAAGGGAACCATCTCCCAAACAATCATGATTCTACCTCCCTACCTTTCTTTACTACCACGATCACCTAACTTAGACTTAAACCAAAAAAATATGAGATTCTATACTTAGTCGGGTCAGAATAGAGTTTGACCAAAAACAATTGCAACATGTATTTGCCAGCGTTACATCGTATAGCTGGCAAATGTTGTTTATACGGCAATACGTGGGAACACTAATTGCTATCTGGCATGCGTTGAGTCGAAGGTGTTTAATTTGAATATGAAAAGAGGGGATGCGAAATAATGGTGCGGTGTATATAGGAGGAGTCGTTTAGGTGACTTTTAGGTGATTATTTGTGGTTATGTTAAAAGGTAATCTTCAAACTGTTCAATATTTGCATGGCGGCTATTTTGAAATATAGTACAACTGTTTCTCAGCAGAATATTTTTCAAGAATTCCACCTGGAATGTGTGCAGGGAGGTCACCTGAACACGTTGATACCAAACAAACTTTTACAATATCAAATGTCTCAAAACCCTCAAATTGGACATTTGCCCCAAAGGTAACTGATGTAGCCCGTGATTATGCTCCTAATTAAATTTTTAAAAAAGGAATAAATTCATTCTAACTCTCACCAATGACGAATGAAGTGCAGAGAAGTAGGAACATGGTTCTCAGGGTAACAGCGGATGTATGTCTCTGCATCTATTGTATAGTCAGAAAGAATAGAAATCAAGGGATTCAGCACTGTAAAAGTAAAACCGTTTTCTCACTCTTACGAAAAGTGATGTAGAAAGATGAAGATGAAACGCTGAAACTATTGGATTGGCTTACATATAAGGATAGGGATAACGAAATTAGTTTGATGGGGAACGCTTTGCGAAATATTCTTAATGTTTTTAATAACACATGAGGTCATCAATATAAGGTAGACATAACAAAATTGAGATTTCTAAGAAATGGGAAATGTTGATTCCCCACGTCCCTTACAAAAAATATATTCATATTTCATGTTAGTTTTGTCTGGTATTTCTTTGAAATATTAATGTATACAGTTCAAATATTGATAAATTTGTTATCCAATACAATCGAACATTATCATCGAATTCTATGATTAAACCTCATATGACCCTTGATTCGTCTTACCTTTATATAAATTGATCTCTGCTCTTATCTTGTATAGATACTTTTCAGTCGAACAACAATCTTGAAGTTTACGGCATCAACAGTTATTTTCCAAACAAGAAACACGTGGAAGGGTGCTTATGTGCGCACAAATAACAAATGGAAAATGCTTCAAGTGCAATAGGTACATGTAGTTCATTTAATGAACGACACTACAATCTGGCGGCTGGTCGCAATTGATTTATGTTTGGGATGTTATAGAGCGGGTGTGTTCCTGCTGAAGGAGCTTTACAGACAATGGCTTGCTCAACGTTTGTGGTAGATATTGGATACCATCGGACCAATCAGAGAGCTGCATATTGTGTACCTATATTCCCTTCCATGTGTACATCAATTTGGCGATATATTTTAAACGTTATAATAAAGAGTCTATCTACGAAATAAAAGATAACTGCGCACGCACGCCGAGTAGCCGAGAAGCCTGTTTCAGACACAGAACTGTTACATTTTACAGTCCTGTGGTTTCAGATCGAGCAAAGCTAGATTTCTATGCAATCGAAACCGGGCTGACCAGATTAAACGTATACAAAAAAAAAAGCAGAAATACGAAGTTGTAAACCATCTAGAAACTCCTAATAAATTGCGATACTGATTAATTTATTATATTATTACAATTTTTTCTTTTCAGTGTTCTTTACTGATAACTTAATTTTCTTATATAACTGAAGATATGACGTATATATTCAGTACCGAATGAATGCCATAAAACTACTACCAACAACAACAACTTATATCTACGAATTAATATGCATCGGCGGATCTTGGCGGAGGGGGGGGGGGGGACCAACCTTCGCGCAAAGCGCGCTGCCCTAGCCTTTCTGGATGGGGACCAAGGGCCCGCCTTAAGGCCCCAATTGTGGTGCAGAGCCCCAGACGTTCTCGAGTTTAAGCAATTCTGAACCTTCAAAATAGCCGTCTTGAGCGATAGAAAGACATTCACTCTCTTATGGACAATTTTATACAACAAAGGGTTGCACTAATGTCCTTTGGCAAGACATTGATCTACATTTGCCACTCTCCACCCAGGTGTTAAATGGGTACCCGGTAGGATGCGAAAGCTAATGTGGTTAGATTAGCAAGTGTGCGCATGTAAAAATGACGCCTGGCTGGAATGCTCCCCAGGGAGTGGTGAATGTGCATACCTTGTGTGCGGGTAAGCCTGAATCCGATGACCGGGGTAATAATATACTTTTATGTAAAGCGCTTTGTGAGGGCCTCCGGTCCTGAAAAGCGCTATATAAGAACGAGCTATTATTATTAATATTACGAAACAATTTTATGTTTGCGGATGGGGGCCAGGGGGAGATCCCCTCCCGGAGTAGCTAAGGACCTAAGGAACCCCCGGACGCTCTCGAGTTTTAGAACTTCAGAATCTTTAAGATAGCCGTCACGAGCGATAGCAATAGTGATTTTCTTCTTGATATTCACACAGCCCCTATCCTTTCATTTAATAATTCATCTCTAATATTTTTACAAAACTGGTTTTTGTATTGTTCTACCAACGACAACATCCTCTCTGGTTCTTTCTCGCTTTTCCTCTCTTCTTCTCTTTTACCTTCTCTTATCTTTCTTTTCTATTTTGTTTCCTTTTCCTGGCAGGTAACTAATTGGCGTGGGGTCCAGGGGGCGAAGCCCCCAGAAGCTCAGGGGTTTAAGGAATTTTATAACGGTCAGGCAGGCATGCAGGAGCCCGCCTTAGGGCCCCTGTTGGGGTCGAGGGGGTGGAGCCCCGGAAACTTAGGGGTTTTAGGCATTTAATTACGGTCAGATGAAAATATTTTGATACCTTATTATTTTGTGACACTGGCAGGACACTAATTGGCGTGAGGTCCAGGGGGCCGAGACCTCAGAAGCTCAGGAGTTTTAAGCATTATATTACCGTCAGATTAGCATACAGCCGTCCGCCTTAGGGCCCTAGGTGGG